CATAGCTCACCAATATTTTATTAATGTTTTTAGAGTTCACCAATTCCATAACTCTCCATGGTTAGCTCACCATTCTCATAGATCACTAATATTTTATTATTATTTTCTTAGCTCACTAATTTCATGGCTCACCAATATTTTATTAATTTTTGTTAGAATTCTCCAATTTCATAACTCTCCATGGGGTAGCTCACCATTCTCATAGATCACTAATATTTTATTATTATTTTCTTAGCTCACCAATTCATGGCTCACCAATATTTTATTAATTTTTGTTAGAATTCTCCAATTCCATAACTCTTCATATGTTAGCTCACCATTCTCATAGATCACTAATATTTTATTATTATTTTCTTAGCTCACCAATTTCATGGCTCACTAATATTTTATTAATTTTTGTTAGAGTTCTCCAATTCCATAACTTTTCATGGGTTATCTCACCATTCTCATAGATCACTAATATTTTATTATTATTTTCTTAGCTCACCAATTCATGGCTCACCAATATTTTATTAATTTTTGTTAGGAAGTTCTCCAAGTCCATAACTCTTCATGTGTTAGCTCACCATTCTCATAGATCACTAATGTTTTATTATTATTTTCTTAGCTCACCAATTCATGCCTCACTAATATTTTATTATTATTTTCTTAGCTCACCAATTTCATGGCTCACCAATATTTTATTAATTTTTGTAGAATTCTCCATGTCCATGGCTCTTCATGTCATAGCTCTCCATTGTGCGATAGCTCACCATTGTTGTAGATCACTAATATTTTTTTTAATATTTTCTTAGTCTCCCAATTCCATGGGCTCACCAATATTTTATTAATTTTTGTTAGAAGTTCTCGCATTCCATAACTCTCCATGTTAGCTCCACCATTCTCATAGATCACTAATATTTTATATTATTTTCTTAGCTCACAAACTTCATGCTCACCAATATTTTATAATTTTTGTTAGGTTCTCAAAGTCCATAACTCTTCATGTGTTAGCTCACCGTTCTCATAGACACTAATATTTTATTATTATTTTCTTAGCTCACCAATTCATAGCTCAACCAATATTTATTAATTTTTGTTAGAGTTCTCACATTCCATAACTCTCCATGGTTAGCGTCACCATTCTCATAGATCACTAATATTTTATTATTATTTTCTTAGCTCACAACTTCATGGCCTCACTCAATATTTTATTAATTTTTGTTAGATTCTCCAATTCCATAACTCTCCATGGGTTAGCCTCACCAATTCTCATAGATCACTAATATTTTATTACTTTTCTTTAGGCTCACCAACTTCATGGCTCACCAATATTTATAATTTTTCTGTTAGAGGTCTCTCCAAGTCCATAACTCTCATGTGTTAGCTCACATTCTCATAGATTCACTATATTTTATTATTATTTTCTTAGCTCACCAACTTCATGACTCACTAATATTTTATTAATTTTTTGTAGAATTCTTTCCAATATCCAAACTCTTCCATTGGTTAGCTCATCCATTCCTATAGATTCACTAATATTTTTTATTCATTAATTTTCTTAGCTCACCAATTTCATAACTCTCCATGTGTGATAGCTCACCATTGTTTGTAGATCACTAATATTTTATTATTATTTTCTTAGCTCACCAACTTCATGGCTCATCAATATTTTATTAATTTTTGTTAGAGTTCTCCAAGTCCATAACTCTTCATGTGTTAGCTCACCATTCTCATAGATCACTAATATTTTATTATTATTTTCTTAGCTCACCAATTTCATGGCTCATCAATATTTTATTAATTTTTGTTCTCCAATTCCATAACTCTCTGTGGGTTAACTCACCATTTTCATAGATCACTAATATTTTATTGTTATGTTTTTAGCTCACCAATTTCATGGCTGACCAATATTTTATTACTTTTTTTGTTAAAGTTCTCCAATTCCATAACTCTTCATGTGTTAGTTCACCATTCTCATAGCTCACTAATATTTTATTATTATTTTTATAGCTCACCAATTTCTTAGCTCATTAATATTTTATTATTAATTTTAGAGGTCTTCATTTTTTTTTTTCAACTCTAACATTTTTCAAACTCTCAAAAATCATGGCTCTCCTAATATTTTTATGGCTCACCAATTCCATAGCTCCCCACAATTCTAATATTTTATTCGAAATCTCCAATCTCATAACTCCCTAATATTCTAAGTGAGGAACTCCACTTTTGTAACTCCCTAATATCTTGGTCTAATATTTTATTTTTATTTCCCGACTATTTCTGTAATATGTATCAAAATAATAATAGTAAAAAAAAAAAAAAAAAAAAAGTTCTCAAACCCTTGGCTCTTTACCAAAATAATAACAGTTTTACTATTATACAACTCTCCAAAATGCAGCCCTTCATTTTTGACTTACCTCCTCATTTATTTATTTATTTTTACAACAGTCTGCCCCCTTTTCTTTTTCTTTGTTTCATCACAAAACAGACAAAACATATATATATATATATCGAATAAATAAACACATACAAAGCCAATCTAGGGGAGATTCAAAGCATACCTCACAGAAGATAACTCCAAGAAGACGGAAGATAACGCGCCAAGTCCTCGCACAACTCGCAACTATGGCCCGCAACTCCCCAAATCACCTTCTTCGCTTTTCACCTTCTCTATCACCTGTCAATCACTGAATTTTTTTTCTTCTTCCCTTCAATCGACGATGGCAACTAACCCCCAAACTCTCTTAACAAAGGAATCAAAACCCTAGCCCTCCTCTAGTGTCGGCTCACACACCTTCACTTGTGCAAAATCTTCAATCAAGATCCAAACCCACTTTCCTTCGGCAAAACACTGTTCACAAAATTTTTCAAAAATCGATTTCGAACATCGACCAACCCTAGCAGAGTATAATGTGGGTGAGAGGTGTGGTTAGAGGTAGTCCGGGAAGATGGCGGGCACTTCAATGGCTTGGGATCACCGGAGGTGGAGAGGAGGAGGTCAAGGCAAGCTTGGAGAGGGAGAGGTGGGCAGTGATAGACCTTTGAACACTAATGTAAAGTATGAGAGAGGGTGTTTAAGTATGAAACTTGGTTGTATTGTTGTTGTTATGTCTCGCTGCATATACGATACGTTATATAGGCCGCAGGAGTATTGGAGTCTAAGCAAACTGTTGGACAGGTGGCTCGTTCTCCTCAACTCTGCCAGAAGTGATATCAGCCCTTCTGCCGTCTGTGGCTTGATGGCAGGCGGAGAGCAACGTTTCATGGCAGGTAGAAAGTAACGTTTCGTATATGCATCAGATGACATGAACGTAAGGTCATTATTGCCTCTTCTCCAAGCCTGGTCGAGATGGAGTTGTCTTAGCAAGAAGACAATCATCTCGACGATCCCATGACCTCAGCCGCCAGTCCAGTATCCTCTGATGATCCCAAGCAGTAGTGCCTGGGCCCTGCTCCCAACCTAGGCATCCAAGTAGATAAATGGGCCAGGGCCCACCCTAGTGTTTAAGAGAGCCAGGGGCTCGCCTCCAAGCGACCAAGTAGGAGAATGAGCTGCAGGCTTATCTCGATGTTTAACAGAGGGGCTCGCTTCTGAGCGACCAAGTAGGAGGTTGGGCCGCAGGCCTATCTCAATGTTTAGGAGAGCCATTGTTTATCAATCCAAGTGCAAGTGAGCCAGGAGCTGATTGTATTGTTGTTTGGCCTTGGAGCGAGGTATGAAGGACCATGGGCCCTGGGGCCATGGTGCTGCCTGTTGCAGGGCTCTTCATATCTAGATATATTTGGGCTTATATGTATGCTCCCGCTTAGGCTAAGCATATAGTCTTGGCTGCTTTGGCACATGACGCCCATAGGGCTCGCTATGTAGCAAACATACGACATGCCCGACGTGGTGCCTTATTGGTCTGCCACGTGGGTGGGGTTTTGGTGATGTGGCACCTGTAGGGCTTACCACATATTGAGCTTGATACAAGTACCCACAAAAATACTAATATATATTTATATGTTGGAACTTGGAAAAGATGTGAGAATACGAAGCACTAATGTATTATTTTTGGAAACCATTACTATTCACAAAGAAATTTGGAGTTGTAAAGGATTATGATTTCAAATATATATATATATATATAAAAACCCTAACGAGAAACATAAGCGAATAAATCCACACCTTTTTTTGTTTTCATCTTTGGCCCCGTTTTGTGCTAAGAATCTAGATGCGTTTCCTGTGTTCAGGTGATATGACATGTGGATCCGAAGCATGTTTGGTTTTAAAAAAACTAAAAACTAAAATAAAATGCCACATTTAGACGTGTCCAATGCATGTTGGCCTGTGTCTAATGAGCGCAGTTTTTGAGAACAAGAACACATCACCCTAAGAGGTGTCCTTTCCTCCTACATCTTTGAATGTGTCTTTAGTGCACTGAATTTTCTGCTCTAGACTAGGTGCTTCAAACATGAGCCCTTAGTCATAAGAATTCTATTTATGAAATTCTGACCACAATCCATTTTATAGGATTGCCATAAATCATATTTTGAGTTCTATAAATAAATTATTTTGTTGGTGTCCAAACTATTATCTAAACACTGCTTGGTTCAGGGGGCAGGGAAGATGAGCGGAAATTTTTTCAGATAGTCTTGCTTCTTTATTGTTTTTATTAGCTTAACGAAGAGTTTAGGATAGAACATATACTACCCTGGCCTAATTAAAAATATAACGTGGCGTTCTGAAACATCATCTTGGAGTTGATTGAGGTGCTTTAAAATTATTGAGAGAGAAGTAAAAACATCTGAGCCCAAGGTACATAAATGGAAAATGGCCTTAACACTGATGAAGTTCTCACTTCTGTTCCATTCTGTTCTCGTCTCCTGTTTATTATCCCTTCTATCCGCGCTTGGCAGTGACAAACCAAATGGTGTGTGTTGCTGCAGATGACTATTTGCATAGTATTACGATATCAGTAGCTTATGCCTTATCTGCAGCTAGTGTTACAATCACATTTCATCACATTTGTTTGTCTCAGGACGGTTTAACAGCACTTGACCTTTGCCTCTATTCTGGACATGACACAAGGACCTATGAGCTAATCAAGCTGCTGAAACAGCTTCCCAAGCCGCGGTAACAGCTTTGACCATAGACTCAAGTCAGCAGTAGTACACCTTGCCAAATCCTTTGTCAATTTACACCATCGACTACCATTGTATTTAAATATGCGAGATCCACATTTGAGTCGAACAGAGATCGTGTGATCTTGACAAAGAAGAAAATGCAGATGATACTACCAACAGCAGTGGCACACAATTCAAATGCCTGCTTCAACACCCTATTTATTGGCTACTTCTCTAACCCATGATGTTCGGTTTTAAAGTCTGGATGTGTGAAATCCAACAGTTCTACCTTATGGCACTCTTATTGTTAATAGGCAATCTTCTTATCAATACCCTAGAAGCTGATGGTGGTTGTCCGAGGAAAGCATTAGTGAATTTGATTGTAACATTGTAAATAATTATTACTGGATCGATAGCGAAAACAGTGATGCTATTCCAGATGGTTAGTTTGTTGATGCATGGTGATACTTAAGTCAATCTGACCCAATTTGGGCTGAGACTCATTGGAGGTAGGGTGGTCATGGGTTGGGTTGGGTTGGGTTCGGCTACTTGGATGGTTTGAAGTTCTTTGACTACCCAAAGAAAGAACACTGCGGTTCTTTTAGGTTGGAAATGTAATTCTGGTAAGAGCTCAAAGAAAGAACACAAGAGAAACTAGAATTGAATAAATGGCAGTTGTAGAAAAACAGAACACAGGTCTTTGCTTTTTCTTCTACTTTTATTCAAAGCGACATAAATGGTTTCCGTACATGACAACCAGTTCTTTAAACAAGCACAAGAGGAAAGCCCAACATGTCATAGGTTAAATCGGAACAATCTGAATACACCCTTTCATTCCCAAATTGAATATTTTTTAGAGTATTATTTCACATCAATCATTAATTATTATGTTTTTTGATTATTTCTCCAAATACTAATATAAAAGTGATGGAATCAATGTATAAAACAATCATATTTAAATTGAGACATTACATGACGGTCCCTTAAGACTATCCGGTAGCTTTTTGGTCACACTACCATTTAGGATTAGCAAGCATGTCTCAAGGGTTCCCCTAATAACTAAATGAAACTTATTAGATAACTCAGCTAATCATTTCTATAATCTTTTTTTATTTTTTTTTATTTTTGAAGTCTATCCTTTCTATTATCAAATCACATATTTTTGAAAGAATGTCAGACTCGCACTACCTAATAAGGGATTTTGCAGGATAATAAATTCAGGCTGAAGGCTTGTACTACTTAATAATAGACTCAGTAGGTTAGCAAATTCGAGTTGAGGACACTCTGTCTGTCCGATGCATTCTAACCCTCAGATCATTTTTTGCTTGCATGCCTGAAGTACTTGAAAAACTAGACATTTTTTGGCCACTTTATAATTTTAGTCAATGTTGCTCTCTTTTTTATTTTTATTTTTTTATTTTAAAAAAATGGTAATTTTTCCGGCCATCCAAATTGGTTGAACCGATGAGGGCTCAAATCCCTTGACCAACCTAGTGCGTGGGAATGGGGCTCCCTAACTCTAATGCCTCATTTCTCATCCAAAAATTTTAAAACAATAAAATATTAATAACAAAAAAGCTAGGTTCTTAGAATTGGCAATTCATAATTTATTTAGAATGAACGTGTGGTGGTAATTAAATTAATGAAATGTGAGATTTATAAGTAAAATGAATTTGAACTATTAATTCTTAATTTTGAGTAAATTCTAGATAAATAATTTTAAATTTGTAGTCTCATTATAATAATGATAGTACTTGAAGTCTCTTATTGCTCTTAATTACTAGGCCAGCATGGCAGTAATATGATCGTCATATTTTGGAGCTATGCATTAAGTTTGTATTTGAATCATAAATTTGAATAAGAGTTTAAAAAGATAAATGAAAAATATATGTAAAATATAATTATATTTTATTTATATTTTAACTATCTTTTTTTTTTTCTTTTTAAATTTTTATTTAAATTTATAATTCAAAAACAGTCTAAAATAGTTTTATCCCTGTGAAAATGAATATTTGTGAGAGGGGTTGTAATATGAAATTGTGACCTTCCCGTTTGCTACAAGAAGTCAGGGCTTAAATTCCAGGTCCTGATCTACTGGTCGAATTCCAACAGTGAGAGAGAGAGAGGGGACCATAACACTTTGGTTGGTTCCATTTTCCTAAAAATACTTTTTAAAAAATTCTATCTCTTATTTTTCGTATTTTTTTTATTTTTACTTATTTTTTTTATAATATTTTAATCATTTTTTTTTTTTACTTTTTAGACATACTTAACATAAAATACCTAAAAAGTAAAATTTTTTTGAAAAAAACTTTTTAAAAATTCATTAAATACCAGCAATACAAAAAAAATACAAAAATTCAATATATTTTTTTGTATTTTTATGTATTTATTAATTTTTTAAAAATATTTTTTCACAAATTTTTTACTTTTCAGATACATCTAAGTAAAGTGCATCTAAAAAAGTAAAAAAAAAATGTTTAAAATTTTAAAAATATTCATTAAAAACAAAAAAATACGAAAATCAAAAAAATCAATTTTAAAAAAATTTAATCTAAAAAACTCAAACCAAACACACTGATTTCTCTTTCATTTAAAAAAATAAGTAGTAGTTTTTTTTAGTTTTCGTTTGAAATGTGGGTTGACTTTTTAATTTTTTGACTATTTTAGTCTGAAATTAAAAAGTCTCGTCCGGGATGGATTTTTTGGCTTTTTTGATTTTGTTAGAGAAAAAACGAAATAATTATGATTTGAATGTGACATTTTGTTTTATTGACTTTTTAACTTATTTTGTCTTTTTATGATTAAAATAGCTAAAAAAGTTTATGTCAAACATAGCCTTAATTTACTTTTAAACATTGTTTAAATCGTGAATTTGGATAGCAATTTGAAGAATAAATGTAAAAAAATAAGTAAAATGTGAATAAAATATAATTATATTTCACCTATATCTTATCCATATATTGTCTTTTCCTTTCTAAATTATAGTCAAGTTCATCATCCAAACGGAACATTAGAACTAAAGGGACAATACCTTTTTGCATATCCAGTATAGGTAAATTACATTTTGCTTCCTTTATGTTTAGTTATTTTCTCACTTTGGCATTTAAAGGTTTATTTTTTTCTCTACTTTGACCCTTAAAGTTTTAATTTTTTTTTCAATTTACTCCAAAATCTAGCTTCTGTCCAAAATTAGACAGAAAAAGGACACATTAACATTCACGGGATGAGGGGCTATTGGCATAGCAGTAACTATTGTACCTTAATTTGAGGTTTATTATGGGCTTATTTTTATGATCTGAACCGTTCATTTTGTAAGGTTTGTTGAGTACTTCATGCCTACAAAAAATCATATTAATTGGATATCAATAACTATATGATCGGATTACATTGATCATAAAAAAAATAAACAAAAAGTTTTTATTTTGAGAAATAGCAGAAAATATATTCAATCCAATCTCATAGTTATTGATATCCGATGAATATAATTTTTGATAGACATGAAGTACTCAACGAACCCTACAAAATGAACGGTTTGAATTATAAAAATATGCTCATAATAAACCTCAAATTGAGATACAACAGTTACTAATGTGCCTTTGACACAATAGTAATCCCATATTCAACATTTACGTGACATAAAATTCTTTTATTATATATAACTTACATGTCTAACAAAAATTCAAATCTCAATATAATAATAATAATAATAATAATAATAATAATAATATTTTTTTATATATTATGTGACAGTTAATATAATATTTTTTTATCTAATTCTGAACATAAATTAATTTTAAGAGTAAATTAAAAAAAACTTAAAATATAAATGATTAAAATAAAAAAATTAAAAATTAAAAATCAAAGTAAAAAAATAACTAAACATAAAGGGTAAAAAAAAAAAAGAAAAAAAAAAAAGAGTATAATTTACGTTATCAAACCATACATGCTACGAAAAGGAAATCAATAGTACAAAGACTTTCGACTTTTGACTATGGAGTTCATTTTGATTTGGAAATGGGCTCATCTTTTTCACCAAATTGAATACTCTTGTACAACAGCAAATATTAATTAGGGGTCGGATGGTTTCTCAACCTCTTTCATTCATATGTCTTTAAAGTTAAAAAATTGTTCAATACTCTTGAAGTGTTATGTGTTTATATTTTTCACTAATCATTATATATCATATTTTTTCATATTACTCAAGCACTTAACACAAAATTATAAATATTATTCTCTGAAAAATTCTATCATACATGAAAGTGGTTATCAAGAGTATGGTACATAAAAAAAATATAAACCATTAGATTTGGATAGAATAAATGTTAGCCATTAGATGTGTTGATAGTAAAACTAGTCATAAAATGAAAGGTGGTTTTTCAAAAAGTAAAGTAGTTTTACTTAATTTTGAAATTAAAAAAAAATACTAATTTACTATTTGCTACAAACATACTTACTATTTGCTATTCACTCATTTACTATTTGTTATAAATAAGTTTACTATTTAAAATATTACTGGCTAAACAGCTCACCTTTATTATTTGAAAATTGTGCCATCGTTTGCATTTTAAATATTAATGACACTATATTTAATTATTTTCCTTCAATATTTTGTCTTGTTATGATTTGTACAAAGTAAAATATGATATGTAAATATTAATTTATTAAAATTTGTTAAAATTTACTAATTTTTTAAAATAATCATTATTGCGAAAAAATAATTTTTGATATAATATTAAAAATAAAAAAAAATGTTTTTAAATTGTAAGTTATTTATACGTATTTTTAAAAAAAATAATTTAAAATAGTTACTTTTTTTATAACTACAACACCTCAAAAAATCCTTTAGAAACTTTTTTAAATTCATAATTTTTTTTTCTCAATTTAGTATCCATAATGAAATATTTTTTTCAATATAAGTTTTCTTCATAATATTTTTTAATATCTAAAATATTGTAAAGTATAAATTGAAAATAAAATATAATAAAGTAACTGAAAAAGACTTCTTGTTTGTCAATATTTATTAATGATAATAAATGAATAAATGTAGAGTAATTACTTTCTTTTATCTACTATATTTGAAAACATTTATTGCTATATAAGAATATAGTTAATTAGGAAAATATAGAAAAACCCTCAACTCATTTGCATACAAATGAATAAGATTTGTGCACGCGCGCGCGTGTGTTTTTTTTTTTTAATATTTTTTCACAAAGAATAAATGAAAGAGGATGATTTAGATTTTACAAATTGAAGACAATTTTCAGATAATAATTTATTTATGTCTTTATCTCTCTTTTATTTTAACGTTGTGTGATATTTTAATTTATAAATTTTAAGATTTTGTTGGAAAATCATTTCACTTAGTTAAAGAGAAGGTGGAGTTTTAAAATTTTAAGTCAACTTTAATAAAATAATAAGTATAATTTCATTGACTAGTAACTTAAATTTATTAAAGTTGTGTCATATTGATTAGTAAGTCATGTTTAATTAGTAAGTAAAGTTTGATTAAGTAGTCAGTGGAAATTCAATAAGTAATAACTAAAGTTTAATGGAGTGGTAAGTAAAAATTCATTAAGTAGTAAGTTGGGTTTAATTGAGTAGTAAGTAAAATCGAATGAACTAGTAAGTGAAAGCTAATTGAGTAGTAAGAAAATTCTTATGCAAGAACTAGAAACTAGGGGTGAACAACGGATATTCCGATCAGTCTAAACCGACCGAATCGAATTGATCCGCTGCATTTTGGAC